AAGAGAGAGAAATGAACTTTGATATACAACAAAAATACTGCAGAATGATTTTGAAGCCATTTGAATTTGCGATAGGTGGTCAACCACAGATGAAATAAACAGAGGTGGGTTTTGATTTGTAGACAGCATTACTTGGCAAAGTGCTCAGCAAGCTTCTTCCATTATAGAGGGAGATATTGAAACATTCTTCAGTGACAGTTCAAAATTCAATGTGACAGTATTTATGACATTAGATGATTCGTGCATTGTATCTATTTTATGTAAGTTTTAACTCTTCTAAGCCTAAACCTTCTACTATGCTCTCTTGACTCTTGGTGCTTAGTTCTTTGCCTCTTTTCACAGCTTTTAACAATGAGGAGCAACATTTTTAAACAATTGTTTCTTGTACTGGATAATTGTTGAGTTCTTGCAGTTCTTTCTGACTGCATTTCTTCTTCTATATAGCTTGTCCTGCCAGGACATTGGCAATTGTAGGGCACCCCAATTTCCTGTCCTTGTAGCTTTTAATAAATTTTGTTATCTCTTCTAAACCCTGTTCTGCCAGTCATTTACACAAGCAGCCTAGGTAAGTTTTGTATTGTTTTCCACTCTCTGCTTTCCTTCAATATGTCTTGCAAATATCAAATTTTCATAGCCCTCTTTCCTCAATATGCGCCCGAGGAATCTCAACTCTTTCTGATGTTAATTATAAGTCTTTTTGTTTCCATTTTCTCTAAAACTTTGTCATTGCTCATATATTCTCAGCATCTTTCTGTAGAACCACATTTTTATTGCTTCAAGTCTCTTCTTCATCTGTGAGGAGATTATGCAATAATTACTGGCATATACTGATATTATATAGCACTTCAGTATTCTTTTCTTGATTCTTAATACTTCACTTACCTTTCAAAAGGCACCATTTGCTATCCCAATACGCCTTCAGATTTCAGTGTTGTACTTGCCGTCTTTTGTTTAAACAATTCTTTGATATTTAAATTTTGTACTTGTTTAATTTTGGCATCTCTAATTTGTAATTTTCATGTTGGGCAATTCCTTTTGCTAACAACCATGCATTCTATTTTCATGCAATTGATGTTTAGTTCTTTCTTTTCACTTTCCTTCACTACTTTCTATAGGAGTTCTTGTAGGTTCCTTTTTATGTCTGCTATCAAAACTGGATCATCTGCATATCTTATGTTGTTAAGATTGTGGCCACCAATAATGAATCCTGGTAGGACTTCTAATTCTCTCTCACTGTATCCCATGTAACCAGAACATCTCCTGGTCAAATCCTTCATCTCTAAGGTTTTCATCCTCTCCACTATTTGTTATTGTATTATTCCTGCCAATGTTAAAGGGTGTAGCAGACATAGTGAACCAGAACCCGAGTCGAATGGCAGAAATGATGAACAAGACTTGCCTTATTATCAACGAAAGAGAGTTTGTCTTTGTCTGGTATGTAGGACTTCATTTTGAGAGAAGGCGAGTTCATTGTTCTGTCAAACAAGACCCTTCTTTGTTGTCCCACAAAAAATTGGCTCATTAACAACTTTACATAATATTGGCGTAGTTGGACGGAATTGAGGAGGGACATCCGGGTGTGTTGGTGCTCCATTCTGAGGTGCTTGGATGTCTAGTATGTTTATGATCTGGGCAAGTGATTGGCAACTCACAAATATAAGTAGACCATCTTGGAGAAGAGAGTGAGTTCTGTCATGGTACCTTGTATGATATGTACAGTTGTAATAGAACAAATGAACGAAGTGGATACAAGGCAGAGAACAATGATAAATAGCAAGAAACCAGTGTAGAGGGAAGAAAGTCCCAATCTGAAATTGTGTCCCATAACAGAGTTGCTAATTTCTTTTGATCACAGAAGGTTTTAGAAAAAAAGCTCCTATTTCTGAATTGAATCATATAGAAAAGTTTGGGATATGTAGATGGCATAATGGTTAGAAGCTTGCAAAGAGAATTCAGCAAACAGACTTAGAGCTCCAGTAGAGTTTGTTATGTTCACTTTTGCACAAATAAACTTGGAAAAGGTGTGAATTCATTTCCTCATCTTCCAACTCTGAGTTAAATAGAAGGGCTAACTGGGTTCTCTAGCCTTGCTTGACAACCAGTCTAGACATGGTGACTCATAAAACAATCATCCCCCAGCAACCTGGGCATTAGCTAGCCTGAGAAAATATGCAATGAGTAAAATTCTTAACTCATGTGTGTTGTACATTGGTGAAGATAGCCTGTTTTTGTTTTGAATATCTTGGTATAAAATAATGATTAATTTTGAAAACTACTGAAATTGAAAGAATTTTGATCCCCACCATGTGATTGTGGCTTTGTTACAGATTAATATAATCTACGTAAATATCACTAAAGAAGACTCCATGAGTTATCTAGTTGAAGTTTCAATTAACTCACAGAAACACTATTGCCTCATTAATAAAAATAATTCTGTATTCCCATTGGTACCAGCTCACGTATTTCTACTTGTTACAGCCCAGATAATAGTCATAATTTCAAATACTGATTTTCTAGGCTTCACTAGTTGGAAAATTTCCATAACAAAATCTTTATTGCCCTGTGCACTTGACATAACACTTGACCTTGTGTCAGACTAAGTTCAGTTTAGTAAATACTAAGAAACAGAAATTTGTCCCATTAAAGGATATACTAAAAATTTTTTTGACTTTCTAAAATCTGGCTAAATGAGTAAACATCAGAATTATATTTTTGGAGGTAGGGAGGGAAATTTTCTTGGACTGACCAAGAAACTTTCATCCACATTTCTTTTTCTTAATCAGTCTACCATCATGTATTAAATATTGCTGCTGCATCTCATCTGGTGCTTCTGCTATGTATCTTGATAAAATTCAAAGAAGAATCTGCAATGTCATTTGGCCCTGACATGGCATCTCTGCTTCAGTCACATTCCCACTTTGTACATTGTTTATAAATGCTTTCATGGTAATTGTTCTGTTGAACATTCTCTTTGGTACTTTGACTTTCAGTAAACATGATAGTAGAAAATCTGGATTGAAAATCTGCACTGAGATGGCTTCTTACCTCTGAATAGCTTACATAAACCTAAAAATAGTCTCCTACTAAATTTTGAAAGAAGTACAGTAAAAGAAAGGAGAATTGAAGTGGCAGTTAGTAAAAGGTTTCTGACAGTGCTGATGCTGAAGAAATATTGAGGTGTTCCAATGACCCACTCATTAAAGAACAAGAATTTAAAAAATAATCTGTGCCTCCAGAAACACTCTACCATTTCCACAGAGTTTAAAGAGAGAATTAAAAATCATTATATGAAGAATATTTACTCACAATAGAATATTGTATAAGTCTGGGAAGACAAAGCACAAATTAACAATTCTTTTCCAAGTCTGTCGCAACAGACAAGAAAAATGAAAAGAAGACAAGAAAATAAAAACAGGAAGATAATCTATTGAGCAACAATTGGTTGCACATTTAAGCTCCTGTTCAGCAGAGTGGCAGCAGGTTTTTGAGCTTCATTTACACAATTAAGAAGAATAAGAAGATGAAGAAGAACATTTCTGTGATCAACAGCGGAAGGCTGCCAAGGGAAAGGCAAATGCGTAAACAAAAGAGAGTTTTAATTAACGGTTTAGGATGATGAACAATCAGACGGCACAACTTGTTCTCACACAGAATATAAATCAGCAAAACCTACGAATGAAAAACAGATAAACAAAAACATGAAATTAGAGAAACCAAACAGAATTGTGGTGTCGATGATAATGACTCATTGAGGCAAAATTAGCAATAAATGAATGGAATTAATAAAAAGCAAATTTTCCAGAACAGATTTACACACACACACACACACACACACACACACATACACACACACACATATATATATATATATATATATATATGAGGAAAAAAAAACAAATCTCATATCAAATTTTGCTGCATACAAGGTAGAGATTTTTTAAAGATTACAAAGTAAGATTTATTCCATATTTAGTTAAACATCCATAAATGGCGTATATTTTATTCTTGTAATAATACATATAATACATTCTGCTGATTATTGTAAGGTAAAGATGGTGGATTGAAGAAGAGTGGCAGGAAGAAAATTTTGGAGATTTTGTGAACAAAAGTCCATTATGTACAATGATGCTCAAAATTATTCATACACTTGCCAAATATAATGTAGTCTAAAGTTTCATTCTGAGGAAATATTTTGTTTTCACTGTTAATGGCACATGAAAAGGATAAATGACTGTAAGAATTAATGTAGGAGATATTAAAAAAAAATTATTTATTTCTATTTTTATTCACAAATAAAAAATGACATGTGCAAAATGAATCATGCCCTTCCTCAGTAAAGAGTTTATTTACTTTTACAGCCTCCAAAAATTCCTGTAATTGTTAATAAGCTTATTTTTGGCATACATACTCATAGATTTTCAACCACTCCTTTTTTAAGGTCTCCAGATCCTTGATGTTGGAGGGCTTTCCTTGCCATCACTCTGGTCTTGAGTTCACTTTAGATTTCTCAATAGTGTCCAGTCTGAACTCTGAATGTCCTACTCTCAAACATTGACATGTTTATTAATGAATAATTTCTTGACCACCTTAGATGTATGCTTCAGATCATTGACCTGCTGGAAGATCCACTTCTTGCTGGTTTTTTAAAGTTTTTTTTAAAGATGATTTTCATGATTTTTTTATTATTATGTATCTAGCAGACGTTCTTTGCCAGACAAGATTTTGACAGATTTTTTACTGATTAATTTGTTTTTTATGGTTTATAAAACTTTTGCAGGTTATTTAAAGACAGAAAAATTTTTAGATTCAAAGAATTTGCAGGGGAGAGTAAGGGGAGATAAGAATGATACAAGTTCTACTACTTAACTCATAACTGGGATGGGAGAAGAGCTGGATTCATACCTTTCCCAAGGGTATTTGTGCATAAGTATATATAATAAAGTGGAATGAAACTCAACTCTCCGACTTCCAATTCCAAGCAGTTCTCCATTTCACCACATTACAGCAATTGACATTCCCAAGCAGTCACCCATCTAGGTAATGACAAAGCTCAAAGTTGCTTAACTTCAGTGATTGTATGAGAACCAGTGTTGCAATATGATATGGCCATAAGATAGTGTTGCAAAAAGCAGTAGATAAAAAAAGGGTAGAAAAATCTTTCTTTTATTCATAGGATAGCTTAAAGCCTAGATATGTCCCATTTCCCAACTGGTCTCCAGCTAACCACATGTTGAATTGAACACAGCACTGCAAGCTTACTTGACTATAGACAAACATATCAGATGATTCTACTAAAGCATATTTCTCTCAACATCTTTCATATAACATTTACACACATCTATGAACAAAAAAATTGCCACAGATACACTTTAATTAACGCTTTTTGTATTCTTTCTATCTAGTTTGCCAAGGCAATAAAATATGTTGTCAGCAAATGTACATAATTGTTTATATATTCATTCTTGCTTGTTTGAAGAAATGCCACTATTAAGTGAGAGAGCTATTGCAATATCTCTCTCACTAAATATATCCCTTCAACAACTGATAATCCATTACAATTATTTAATAAAAGAATAGAAGATGAAAGTCAGTTTCTTTGAAAAAAAATGCTGAGAAGTTAAGCTCACCTTTCTTAAAATTAATGCTTTTCAAAAACTTTATATACAGAAAAATATATAAGAACTTAAAAGGCCATCACATATAAGACTTTTGCAAAACATTTTATCAAATACTAGGGTCCACCTTCCTATCAGGTGGGGAAGGATGCTTTTGAATTTTTCTTCTATGTGCCACATCCTTTCAGAACATGGGCAAACATGGCTCTCCAAAACTTCCTATTCTTTGTGGCCCTTAGCAGTTTTTCTACTTTTGTTATGACTCCTGCTCCTCATTCCACTATCCATTCACACAAGGTCATCAAGTAGGTAACTTGCTGCCTTCCCCTATCTCTTTTACCCTCAGTATGCCCTGTGAGGGTTAAGTTTTCCAAGCCTGCCTTCTTCATTATGCATGTAAGGAATTTCGGATATCTCTTCCTGATTCTGAGTTTAAGCATTCTTTTTGTTGCTATTTTCTGTAAAACTTCCTCATTTCTCAATTGCCCTGTCCATGGAATTCTCAGTATCCTTCTATAGAATCACATTTCAGTTGCCTCCAGTTTTCTCCTCATTCATTTTTATCCAGCATTATTGCCATATAAAGTGATGGATTTCCTGCTTAATTATGCCAATATCTAAAAATGAAAAAAAGCTTTGACTGACATGTATGTATAGATGTATAGATTATATGCATGAATGAATATATATTTATATAGGTGTGTAATAGATAAACTCATGTATGTTTCTATATGTGTTGTTTTTTTTTAAATGCAAGCATTTGTGTACATGTCTACCTTCTATATTTAGTAAACTCTTCATTGAAAATTTATTAAAATGACTTGTTTATTTTATGTGTTTCTTATTTGTTGTCCTCTTTTGAAAATGAAAGTTTTTGCTGACTCATGTCAAAAGTAATTGTAGAAAGGTCGGTCAAAGAGAAGTGAAGGAGAAAAAAAGGACAGTGAAAGAAACAAAGAGATAAAAAGAAGGAAAAAAACAAGGAAAATAATGAGAAAAAAAGCCAAAAAGAAATTAGTAAAAAGTAAAAAAAAAAAAACAAAAGAGAAAGAAAAATGTTAAAAAATGAGAATGGAAGGAGTCAAAAAAGAAGGAGATAGTCTGAAAAGAAAAAAAACAGATAGAAAGAAGAAAAAGAAGAAAAGTGAAAATATTATGGAAGAAGAAAAAGATGATGATGATGATGATGATGATGATTTTGTAATGACAACAGTGATGATGATGATGATGATGATGATGATGATGATGATGATGATGACTGTGTAATGACAACAGTGATGATGATGATGATGATGATGATGATGATGATGATGATGATGATGATGATGATGATGCTTCTAGAAGTAGAGTAAAGAAAGTAGGCAAAGTTGAGTGTGCCAAGTACCAACTCCACTTGAAAGGGCTGTCTACTAATTCTATCATTGATCTCCTCATTACAATAACAGCAAACTCAGTTTGATCAATTATCAGTAATTAATTCAAATTTTAACAGCTGATCAATAACACCAGATTGCCAGCATAGCATGTGAATTACTTGCACCATAAAAGACGTCGGCTCAAGAAATCTCGGTAGCAAATTAAAATCTGGTGAATTGGAGATGTGAATGTCAACGAGCTCACAAGTTAATTACTGTCTGTTAATTAGGAAACTTATCAATACAAGTGACAGTAATAGTGGTGGAGGGGTCTATTTGAGGGGAGGAAAGGCAGGACAGGTGCTTTTGCACTAAACCAATGTAATACCACAATTGATTAGCAACAAATCCAAACAATTAATCAGTTTGGTGAGGGAGGCGGGGGTTAATGTTTTTAATTAACATTTGTGTCATTAGTTTCTTTTGTTTCATTATAGATTTTATGTTTTTTTTATTTAATAATTTGGCTAAATGAAGTGAGAGTTCAGTTTTGTTATGAATTTTTGGAGTGTCCTTACTTTCTTAATCAGAGGCTCTTAACTGGTATTCATCCCCATGTAACATCGAGACGAATACCATTTGAGGGTCTCTGATGAGGTTGTCTACTGAGAGAGTAATACAATCTGGGAGCCTCTGATTAAGAAAGTAAGGAGACTCAAAAAATTCCACCACTCATACAATTCCACAATTTGAATACATATATTAAATTTAAGGTTTCAAAGTTATTATTATACAAGAGATACATTTTAATCAATTCATCCCAAACAAGGTAATAATGCCACTAAGATGCAAGAGCCTACTGAGAGTGAAAGCAAATGAAGAGACTTTGGAATGTACCAGAAAACCAATCCTAAACAGGGAACAAGGGATAAACTTCTATTCCTGTTCAAAAGATAGGGAAGAAATGTGAACCAGATAAGAGGTAAACCTATCTACACTTATTGAGAAAAAGAAAAAAATTGGTAAATAAAATTTCAGATTTTCAACAGAGACATTAGAAGTATTTTTATTTTTTTACAGTAAGGTTCACCATGTACAAAGCCAGGGGAACGCTCAAGGTAGAAGGTTACATTAAGAGGCAGTTTATGCAGATAGGAGGGGAAGGTAACAGTTAACCCTAGACTTGAAGAGGTTAAGATTATAGTGATTGGGGAAATATCCTCTTGGGAGTTGGTTCTACGGAGCAGTGATTCACAGAAAGAAGCTGCTTGAGTGAAACTTACCATTGCAATATTAGGGGAATGTGGGTGGTTTGCTACAATGTGAGTGGCATAGCAGGTTCTAGCCACAAAGGTTTGAGTAATTTTCATGGAAGGAGCGATAGAGCAGTGAAAGACTTGTCACATGCCACCTGTGAGAGAGAGGTTAGAAGTGGAAAATAGTTTGTCCCTCACAGGGACTTGGAGATGCTTTTAGACTGAAAAGTGAGGATTGGGCTGGTCCCACCCAAATATAACAACAATACTCCATTTTAGGTCTGCTCTAGCTCCTATAGAGCTAGAGAACAGCATGAGGAGTCCGGTACTTACTGGTGTGGTATAAGAAGCTGACCTTTTTTCCTACATCTTTAGCAATGAATCATATGTATGAGTTCACTTTAGTCTCTTAAGGCATAGAGCATCTCTGCAGGGGTATCCATTCATTGTGGCTGTTCAAGTAGATTTTAGAAGGAACCAGAAACCAAATCCTAAGCAGGAAATAAATGATAAACCTCTACTCTTGTTCAAAAGACCAGGGAGGTGAGTGAACTAGATGATAGGTAAACCTATCTAATGGATTAGTGTGTTGGTTAAAATTATGTTTAACTCCCTGGTTGTTCTGTTCTTGGTTGGGTAGTATTGATAATTTATCTACTCTGATTTAGTGGGATTAATGGACAAGTGACAAATGAGTAATGTGAATATTAACTGATATAAAATATACTCCAAGCTGGACAGCAGAATGAAGGCACTCAACACACTATGGATGAAATAAAAGTTCACTTTAAAAAACCAAAGGCAAACACCTGATGAAGGCTGAAGGTATTCTTCAGCCTTCATTAGGTGTTTGTTGTACTTGTCTTGCAGCCAAAATATCGTGGATGTAATATTTGTTCACACATGCTGGTCCAAGTAGCAAGATATATGATAATTCCTTATTTAAAGAATAACAGTATTAATTAGAGTTTACAGTAATAAAGTCTCTTATTTTGGATGAGTTCTACTGAATAAGAGATTTTCACAGGCTTTACAGCATGGTTTGATCCCAACAAATTGGCACTTGATGGTGACATTGTTGATATGGAGAAGGCTGGAAATCTTTTTAGAATTTGGTGGCAAATGTCACATTGGTCAAGTCAAGCCAAAATAAAGCAGACAGAACAACTAGAATTAACTCCCTGACTGTTCTGAGTTGGTTCGGGTAGTGTTGATAATTTATCTACAGCGGTGGCTCAAGGCAACATAGAATGAAACCAAAATAGCTTATTTTTAAAAGTTTGCATGAAGCACTGCAAACACAAGCCCCAAACTTCAGTCACAACAAAATGGTCAAATGTTGCAAATTCGGAACACAAACTTTGAACTAATGTGAATTATACTGAGAACATGGTTGCCACTCATGACAAACCACAAGTGAACTGAGGAACTCAATCTTGTGCTTGGTTTAAGTATAGCAATGTCATTTTCAAGGGCAACAGAGAGCCACAGATAAATACTTGTCAATATTTCCGTTGCCTGCTGTAATGAATACATGTTAATCATTTCCTTGTTATAATCTGACAACAATAGAATCTTGCTATGAGATTCTTCCCAATTCTTAAGAATTATATTATGAACATAAAATGGAGGAGCAATTTTGGTATTATTAATGTTAATTTATAAGGAAACATTTGGTATTCATTGACCATGCATCTAGACTTGCTGTCAGTTGAAATTTATAAATCTTTCTCTTAGTTTTTGTTTTAAATTTTAAGGCAAATAGGTTTCTCAAGTCCAGTTGCTATTACTTCTCTTTCCAGTATTGATGGTAGGGGTTCCTTCCTTGTCTTTTGTTTAGGGTGGAGTGGAATGTCAGCATGTCTCATTATTTTCTCTTTGACT